CACTTTAGTTTGCGATACTTCATTCGACTCGATGTCAATATGATCAAAATTAGTATTATCGAAAGAACATCAATATCAATATAAATAAAAACACAATTTTTAATAAAACTATTAAAAATAAAACAAATTTTATTATATTAATTATTATATTTATTTATTATTTTATTATTATTATATATTTATTAATTTATCATTAAATATACTATAGCGGAAGATTAAAGTATAATATAAGTAGAATGAAGTAATATTTTAAGTAAAAAAGTATAGGTTAGAAGGTAACAAATAGGTTATATTATATAAAATGGATATAACATTATGTTGGTTAGTATTTTTCATAAAGCCTATTGAGAAAAACTCGTTCATATATATGTTCGTCGGTTAAGCGGCTTCTCTCATCTGACACAACATCATTCAATGATGACACCAGTATCTCTGATGCCCCCGATCTTCCGACCAACGACATGTATTTTTTAGCTATAAAAGTCAAGCCTGGCATAAAGGTTCTGTTCTGCTCCCAGAATAAAAACGGAACACTTAATCTCGGCAGCAAAGGCTGCTGGAGATATAAAGTCAGTTCATTTGGAAAAGAACTTTGAATCCGTATGTCCTGAGAACTTAAACTGGAACCACTGTTCACCAACTCCAGATCGTGTGAAGACCAAAGAGAGTTTGATTTTAAACTCACTTTGGCTTTTTTATTCTGAAAGGAGCAGAAAGGAGAAAGTTTTCCGATTTCGGTATGGAACGCTCTAACTTCCGAGCCTAAATTGGATGTGACTGTCTTTACTATAGACGGATTCAGATATAGTTTTTTGCATCTCGGGTCCTTGATTGTAGCATTGCAAGGCAGGGGGTTTGGTAAAAGCTTAGTGCCCCCCTCTTGAAGGTTAGTTATAAGCTTTGGCATAACTTTTGGGCTGTATTAAGATTTGGCTTAAGGTTTTTTAAAGATCTTTCTATAATAGACACAAGGGAGATAACAAGACTAGCAGTAATGTACTGGAAACCCGAGATCTCCTTTGTGGCCTCATCGAAAGGTGATAAAATTGTTACAATTTCAGTGATTAGTTTTATATCTAAACCAGAAATCATCATTGGTGCTTTTTTAATCGAGGGATCTGCCAGTATTGCAGCTATATATGGGAACATTGGATAGAGTCACGAATGTCGAGGTGTTGAGCAGAATGGGAAAAGATAAAGAGGTCTTAACTACAGTTAAAGTCACAAAACTGCAATATCTGGGGCATATTATGAGGGGCGAGCGTTAAAACTTGTTGCAATTAATAATGCAAGGAAGAATACAGGGTAGAAGGACTCGCGGAAGAAGACGCATCTCCTAGTTAAATAATTTGTGAGCTTGGTTTTACTGCACTTCTGCTGACCTCTTTAGAGCAGCGGCGTCGAAAGTGCGAATTGACATGATGGTTGCCAACCTTCTTAGAGGAGATGGCACGTGAATAAAAAGAAGGTGGGGACATTAGTGTGAATCTTTTAAGCATGTGGTAGACAGAATTTCATCTGGTTGGTACGGATTTTACCAAAAGCTTCACTTTACCATCTGACTTGCCCTCCCGTTCCTGCTCCATCCGTAACCTTTCCATGAAGCGATTGCTGTGCCTAGCAAAAGTGACTATGGCTTTTATTTCATTTATTACATGTTTTAATGCTACATTACTTATATCTTCTAGGCCATCTGTAACAACTAAATGTAATATGTGTAAAATGAAGCAGAGCTCACACTCGCCTCAGAAGCAGATGAAGATGCTTCCTGATTGCCTCTATGCAAAAAAGTTCCAATGTCCACCAGTTCTTTATCCTAAGCAAAAACAAATTTCCCATATTAATTCGTTTACTTAAATTTTTCTATGAAATGAGCTTACGTTTGGCTTATTTTTCAGATATTTTGGATGTTTAGTTTTTAGATGTTAAGGTGCTGCCTTAAATTCGTCATGCCTCTTCCTAATTTTAATATTTTCAAACAAATGGAGTACTGTGCCTTATGTTGCTACGCTTGGAAAATAAATTCCACACACACGATTTCGACATGGTAAAAATAAAAAATTTGAAACTTGAAGATGAAAAGAAAACGGCGTTATTACTATATTTATTTAGTCACTCCTATAGTATAACTGGTCTTCAATGTCGTCATGAAAATTACTAGATTACTTGGATCGAAATTACTTTTGATTTGTGTGAATCTCAAAGATTTGTGAATTTCAGTAGTCAGATGTAGAGAACAGTAAACCAAAATTATTATACTACTGCTCAACAGAGAGCGCTGAAATAATTCAGCTTCTATTGTCATTGAATATATTATAAGAGTAGATAATATGCAATTATTGTATTCAATTAAATGATGCAAATTTAATTTACCCTTTGAAAATCTAATCCTCTAAAATACCCACCAATTTTTCTCTCCTCCCAAACTCAAAAAATTCCCCAACCATTTCAACTTATAAATTATTTCACAGACTCTTCAAATGGGATTTAAAAAAAAATAATATCAACATAAATATTTTACTTAAAAATGAATTGGATAATGCAATTCATCTTATATTTTTACTACCATCAAAAAAAAATCATGTATTACTTTTAACACGTTTGCATATTTGTTTAATAGGTACATTAACTCATTTAATACTTCCTGTATTGTTTTGAAAACGTAGGGAATTCCTTGGAGATTCGTATTCGTATTCGGTAATTCGATATTTATAGTTAGAACATTATTATTTTTGGTAATCAGAAAAAGCCATTCACCCACTTTAATGTCAAGAGTCAAGTGTGAAAAATATGTAATGTACCAGATCACTGTAAATATTATGATTACAAATACCATTTCAACGAAATATTATAACAAAACTTAATTGTTTCTGGCTGATATGAGTTTGCACTTTCAGTTTGCTTGTAATTATAAAATAAAATAAAATTTGAATTATGGTTTTGTTTGGAATAATTACTTGAGAATAATAATTATGTTTGGAATCCAAAATAATACCTAAATAATACTAATAATACTAATAAAACTAATAAACCTAATAACCAGTTTTTACTTTAAAAATAAAAAACCGGTTATAACCGGGACAAAAAAACAACCGGTAAAACCGGTTATTGCGAAGTAAAAAACCGGTTTTCGGTTAAAACCGGTAGGTTTTTCCCATCCCTAGTTCCGATCCTTCATATTTTAACAATGCTGCCGAAACTCCGTCCGTTCCTGGTCCTTTACTGTTTTTAGCTTTTTTAATATTTGAACTACTTTTTTATAACTCAGATTTTCAATGTGCTGCTTCATCGTAAAATATGTCTCGTTTTGATCATTTCCATTTTCTGCGTTTAGGTTTTTCTCAAAGTATTTTTTCCATCTCATTATAATTTTTTGTTTCTCTGTTAGTGGTTCTCCGTCCTTATCTTTGCATATTGTCAATTTTGGCTAAATGACTCTGTGATTTCTTTTATTTTTTTATAGAATTTTCTGCTCTTATGTCTGTTAGTATGTTCTAGGATTTCTTGTACTTATTTTTTTAGAGTCTCTCTTTTTTTTTGTTGTCGCTTGTGTTCTCTTTTGGTTATAAATTTTGGTTATTTTTTGTGTTTCTTTGAAGTTGGTTAAGCCTAGCTTGCCTTTCTTTCTCTACTTAAGTTCTGCAATCATCATCATACCATTTCGCATTTCTTTGCCTTTTGGCTTTTCCGACAGTTTCCTCTGCAGACTCCGTTATTATTGTTTTTAATAATCTTTATTCTTTCTGTGTAGTATCTTTCTTTCTGATTTCGTTGAGTTTTATTTGGAGAGTGTTTTGATAGTATAGTGTCTTTGTTGAACTTTTAAATCCTTCAACATTCCATTTTTTAATTTGGATATTTTTTTGCCACTTTCGCGATTTTCTGTCATAATTTTGTCCCCACATAATAGTGATCTGAGTTAGAGTTCGGCTTGCGCTACGTTCTGATATTAGTTATGTCTGTTGCCGAACTTTTTGAGATGAGGATGTGGTTAATTTGTATGGCTTTCTTGATTCCTAGTATTTTCCATGTTTCTTTATGGATATCTTCTCTCTGGAATTTACTGCTGAACGCTATAGAAAAATTTGCTGATTCCCAAGTCCATTTTGACTGGTTTCATTATGCAAACTATGTTTCCCAAATAAGTTTACAACAGTTTCTTTTTCCCCCAGCATAGTATTCAAATCATCTTATGTTATAACAGCATCGTGTTTTTGAATTTTATAACATACTTCCTGAAGTTCTCCATAGAATATTTCAGCCTCATTGTCACGTTCTGCAGTTTACCTTTGAGTCTTATGGGGCAAATTCTGTCTGTTATTAATGTAAATGCAATAATGGCTTTTTGTAATCTTTGGTTACTATAAACCCTACTCTTCTTTCACCTTCTCTTATTTCTTTTGTGGAGAAGTATAGTAAGAACTCATCACTTTATAGGACCCCATAAAATTAGTAGACCCTTTGAAATATAGCAAACTAGTCATCGGCACACACCTCTACGAAACATAAAGAATTGGATAGGCATAAATAAAACTGGCGATCTTTTGCATGCCGCAAAAGACAGACCTCTGGCCTTAAGATAATTCGCCAACGCACTATAGGTGCACGGCGTTATAAGAAGAAGAAGTCATCGGCATACGTTGTAGTCTGGTAAACTCATCACCATAGATTAATCACTAGGATTTTTCACACGGGCAGATTGATCACACCTGCCACGGGGTGCAATTAGGCCAGTGATCAATTTGCAAATCTCTCTGGGTCTATTTTAAAATCCTTGATTTTATTACGGTGTTGAGTTTATACTATCAACGAGAGCATTTATGCTAATTGGTGATAAGTTCACGTAAACCCGATTTTAACTTTCATGATAAGCTAAATAATTATGTATTAGTCTCCTCTAAGAACATGCCCTAGGTATGAAATTATTCTTATGGTCATAGCCTTTAATAATGTACGAAATTTTACTGTCAATATTTTAAGGTATATTATTTTATTTTTAGTATTCGAGTGTTAAGTGGGATGGTATTCGAGAATCTAAATTCTCTGGAAACACTTAATTTGCAGAATAATAAATTAATGCATGTTCCAGAAGATGTTATGGACCCGGTTCTAGATACTTTACGAGTTGTTGATATAATGGGTAAGTCTGGCATTAAATTTTACGATTTTGTTTATAGTTGGGTTACATTAATAGGATACATAATTATTTGGTAGCTTCGAATAGCACTCTCAAGTGTATGTAAGAGAAAAGTATTTAACAGTACAAACAAATAATAATACATATTATAGATTTGAGAAAGTTGAAGGGTTCGAATATCTAGGAATAACAATAAGATGAAAACCAAATGACAAAAATCAAACCTAGATAGATTACTGAAACCAAACAAGTATGTTATTGCATTAAATAGGTTAATATAAAATAAATGCATATCATGAGGTGCCAATTTAAGAGTATGCAGAATGGTTATTAGGCTTATAGTAACTTATGCATCAGAGACATCGACATTAAATAAAATCAACAAGGACTGGTACAAACTAAGGAAAATATTTGGAAGAAAAATGGAGAACCGCGTAAGAAAGGGGTAATAAAAAAAGGATGCCAGAGGACACTCTATCTAAAATGCTACTTTCAAGTACAATAGGAGGCCGCCAGAGAAGAGGTCGACCCAGAAAAAATGAAATTCGATTTGGTAGAGACTTACTTTTATTTATCTATTTTTCACACTCTTTGGTTTTTTTGACTATATAAATTAATGTTTCTTGGGTAAAACGTGACACAGACATTAACGTACTGGTTAATGTCTGTGTTAACGAACTGGTTAATGGAAAATAAAATCTAGTTCCACATGTAACATATCTTTTTTGAACCTAAACCCAAGAAACATTAATTTTATATTAAATATAATACGGTTCAAGAAATTTGGTAATAAAACATATTATATAAGAAATGCTACTATTTGGTTAAAGTAAAATGTTTACAACCAATTTATACTGTCGATAAAAACATGCGGTTTCCAAAAGTTGTGCCAAACTAAAAATCTGCCAATAAATTCAGACTAACATAAAGAGCAATGCAAATAGCAGTGCTGTAAATAACAAAAAGAGATATGGTACTAAACAGAATAGTAAGAGCGTAAACTGGAAAACAGATGTGATAGAAAAGATTGCCAAAGCCAAATGGAGATGAGAATACCACCAAGAAAATGGATTGGCGGCTTATAAAAAACAACAGTAAATTGGATACAGAAAGCACAAGATGTAGAACATTGGAAGAGGATAAAGTAGAACTATGCCCAACAACGTATGCATGAGGTTGACAAATAATAATGATGATAATGATCCTTTTGTCATCTGTTTTGTTTGTTTTTAATATTATCTTATCTCTGTTTAAAATTGTTCTTCTACTTTTTGTGTTTGATCTCACATCTATCTTACTTTTATTCTTTCTCGATACGGTTTTAATAGTTATCTCATTGTATTTTTTGATATTATTTTTGGTTATTGTCAATTGGTTATTGTTTTTTTCCAATATCTGGTGCTGTATATTATTTTCAAGCTACCTTTCTAAGCTGAACTTATTAGTTTGCCAGTGAATGTAAGCATTGGTATGCTGATATAGGGGGCTAAAACAGCTAAAGCAATTTTAACGCGTACAGCCAAAGGCGTAACTTTAGATGTGATTAAACCGAGTGAATCTAGTTCTTAATTTAAATTTTTCGAAGGTCACACTCTGAAGCTTGATCTGGGATGACACACTGAGATGTAGAAAATTTGAATGTACATCTGGCAGGCACAGGCCCACGGCGAACGAGGTTAGAACTGCAAGAGGACCCTGTATGGTGGTTCTGTCCAGAGAGTACACAACCGCGAAAGATACCTGAGGTGGCACCCAGAAGCCGAGCTGACAACAGGTCAGTCGGTCGAAAAAAAACGGATTTATCAAAGTTAGTGATCTTAAACTCAAATATACTTCTTAATTGATCCTGGTCACCCCCCAGTTGTAAGGCTATTCCAAGCTCCAATGGTAGTCCGGTGCCAACAAAAAAAAATAACAAAACCAAAAAACCCGGGCACGTAGGGTCCAAACCCTTGGGCACCAACTTAAGTACAGATCGTAGACTTGAGGCTAAGGTAATCAATTTTAGTTTTGCGGAAAAGTCACAAGAGGATAACAGGATTAAAGCGCCTAACGCTAGCCTCAATTTGAATCGGTTAGGGTACCACGTTGAATCTGTTATCAGGACTTCCGCATGAAGACCATTTGGTTGGTAGTCGTGCCCCTATTGCGCATCAGAGTGCTATAGGGGAAAAGGGAGAATCTGCATCATGAATTAATATACCTGGCTCCAATAAATTTTTACATTCGAACGTAATCCTGAGGAGTGAACAAGTCCCACAGGCTGGGTTCAGTTAAACTGCTTGCTTGCTTGTCATAGTTATACGGTTCTAAATGTTCGGTATATAACAGCACGTGTACTTTAAAACTGTTTATGGTATTAGCATTGTTTAAATGGATATTAGGAAATATATTTAAACATGTGTTGGATCATAAAATACGAGTATGTAACTGGCTTCTCTATAATCTAAAGTTTTAGTAGCTACAAAACCATATACAGAAATTATATGCCCTTTTTAATAAAAAATATACGTTTAGAATTGTTATAACTTTGTTATGAATAATATTTTCACTATCATTAATTTTAATTTTAAAGCTGGTAGATTTTTTAATTTCAGCTATAACAAAGGTATTGTACTAAAAACGCAGCCGAGTTACAACTTAAAAATCGCATAAATCAAGTAATTTTGCAATGTTTTTGCACCAATTTTGCATTTTTGGTTTTAATCATTGGATCAAGGTTTACAAAACATCATTTTATAGAATTTTTTGAAATATAGAAACAAATTGTATCTTGTAAAAATGTTTTATATTATTTATTTTACAAATTATAATTAGTTAAAGAACTAAATTATTTATAAATAATTCCTGTACCTTTTGACAAAGAAGCATGTTTAAAATGTGAATTCAGAGGGTTAAAATACATACGAATACACTCTGAAACTCTAAATACTTTGATTGGCTACAAAATATCCATGGCCCTTGGACTAATTAAAAACTTCTTGTGTTTTGACCTCTTCTTTTTTCGCTTTCTGAAAAACGTTTTTACTTTCTTTACTATTAAGTACTCGTACATCACAGCTTCCTTTAAGTTTTATTTATTTTTTTATTTCTTATATGATATTGTAATCTTCTCGCCATGACTAAAATAAAATAAAATGCAGTTAACACAATATAAATGTTTTAGATAACCCACTGCTCTGCGATTGCGAACTGCAATGGTATAAAAACTGGCTGCGCAATCTAAAGGACAAAGACGACGATCTAATGCAGAAGAAACGAACAGTTTGTACGATGCAACACGAACACAGGGAATACAGTCTACAAAGTCTACCCCTAGACAAAATGAAGTGCGTCATCAAAAGCTACGATCTTAGTTCCAACAGTGTCACCAGTATTCAGCCCGTTGGAATAGCAACGTCGGCCAGCACCCTTATATGTGTGGTAGCTAGATTTATTCAACCGTAGATAGAATTTAGAGAACATAGAACTTAAAAAGATGGTTTTGATATTAAGTTTTTGAGAAATATTTAGTCGATAAATGTTTTATAGAAAACAGTATAGTATTCTAATAAGTTGCAGTTTAGATAGCATGTATGTTGCCTCGTTGTTAAACAGCTTCTTCGCGCTAACGACTTGGTGTTATTCACAGTAGTCAATTTTTGTGCAAATAACTTAGGCGATTAGGAAGTATTATAGAATTTGTCGAATATTGTTGGCTACAGCATTACAATTTTTGGTACATACAGACAAGCTGTCAATTATTCATGAAAAAATGTTTCTATAAAAGAACATTGTGGTACCGGTGTAGCCAATAATACGACCCAGCGCAATATAGAATGGCAAATTTAAATTGAGATGAAGAGTATGAATAAAAAACATCTACAAGACGGTATAAAAATAAAGAACTGTAACGAAAGTAATACAATTATAATGTGCCATTCTGTTTTGTATTTTATATAAAAGTACCAAGGTTCTTTATCCTATATATTTACTGAAAATTAAAAAATAGCGCAACACTCCTCGCTATATGATTGTGTCTCTTGCAATAAATATATGGGGGAAACCGAAGTATTATTGTATACATATCATATCGTAGACTTTACTGGAATACTAAGGGTAGTGAAACATCCACCATTACCTATTTTGTCCCTTTTCACTCTATAAGACGTTCGAAAATTGACACTCTACCATTTATTAAAGGGATGATTTGTCTTTCTAGTGCGTATGCATTTATATCAACATTCGTGACGTTATCTTCGTCTGACCTAACGATTTTATTATTTGTGTCGACAAGCCTAGATATCGGTCTTTTTCTTCTTAATTTAATTATTTTTTTGTTAAGAAGTCTATGTTTATGTTTCAGAATTCCCTTTTGTAATGTAAGACTCTTAAAGCTATATTGTGTTATTTCTATGCGCAACAAGTTAGTTCTTCCTAGCATTGTTTATATATGTCCTAATTAGGCATTAATTAATTTTAAAGGTTATAATGCTGTGTGCAAACTATTCGTTTCGTTTTTATTATTTTAGATGCAATTGGATCGTTTAATAATTTAATAACTTTGCCTATGGTATGTATTTAGGATCAGAATAAGATATAGTAATATATAATACGCTAGTTTCCGGGTTTATATAGGTATTTTGTTCGCTACTGCGGCAAGTGTAGTCAGCAGTGATGCGGCAAAAGTTTGCATCAGCTGTTCTTTCTGGCTTCTCCAGTAAAGCGCATATTTGGTTTGTGCTTCTAATTTTGTCGACCGAATCGACAAAATCAGTAATAAGGTTGCATACTTATACATACTTGGAAATAAAGATATCCCACTTTTAATAAACACTTAAGAGGTCATTTTTGGACTCCTTTCATGTATAGTTTTGTCTTTAACATTTTCTCTAAATATCTCGATGTTTAAAATCCATATATCTACTTAGTGTACGTGTGTGTGAAAATATTTAACCTTTTCTTCTGTTTATTAAGTTTTACATCATTCAAATCGCGTATCAAACCTAAATTTTGGACAATTGGCCTACATATCAGGTGGACGAGAGGATATTATCATATGTGCCGCAATATTTTATAGAGTTTAAGTCATTTGATAAAAAATTAAAGTAAGAACTATCCATGGAATCTGTGAGACAGCGGATTTTTGAAAAAATCTACAGCTTCTTTGGATATAGTTCATTTTTCACAAGAGTTAGGATTTGCAATTGCCAGTGTATATGTCTTTTATTGCTGTAATATACAGTGGCAATTATGTGTAAGATTAATTGTAAAAATTGCATAAATATTAGTCAATATATGAGCTTGATCTAATATTACTAATTATTTTCGAGGAAGGTATAAGAATTTTATCATAGGTAAGTTTAAGATTATAATGGTAAATAATAGCATATACTATTAAAGCACTTAAGTGTTATCACATTCCTACTTCATGCAAATTGATCTAAATTAGGTTAGTGTTAAGATATTTCACGAATACTCTCACAAGCTACAAAAATTGCATGAATGTTTGTAAAACGACATACGAACACTAAATACAGAATTAAATTACTATTCATTTTACATATGATGGTAAAATCGCTTGTATTATTTTTTATGTTATTTAAATATTATTATAATATACCATTTGAGCATCTGTTGCACACCATCATTGTCACCACGGCAAATTACTTTACTAAAGATTTCAAGTTCGAGCGTGGAAACCGTTTCAAAATGTTTTTTTTCTTTAAAGAATGTGTAGATAAAAAATATTAACAAAATGTAAAAGTTTACAAAAAAAGTAATTCCAGAAACCACAATCAGCTAAAGCCGTCCATTTTTAGATTTGTTTCAATTTCATAAATTAATTCTTTAATTTTTGGTTAAGTGTAAAGGGAAATTTTCCACTAATGTATGACATACAATTTTGGCACAAAATTCGTTAGGTTTAATGTTAAAAAAAAACAAATTATATCGTATAATTTAAAGATGAAAAAATGTATCTACAACTGGATTGGGCAGGTACTCAAAGCTGAAATCTGTCGAATATTTCAGAAATGAAAACGTTTCACGCAGAACCATTTATAGAACAATGGCAAAGTGCGAGCAGTGAATACCATGTCTGAATCTTCCAAAAAGTGAAAGACCACGTGCAGTTATTACAAAGAGGTTAGGAGGATTAGTTAGAAGAGCAAAAAACCAGGTTAGAATGTCAATGCGGAGACTGGCTCGTAAATATAGATCTAAAAGTACCATATCATTGGAACTAAGAAGAAATTGTCTTGAGTATCAAAAGCAGTGTAAGCGCAAACACTTTTAAGCTCAACTTCTTTGTATACCAAGAAGCTGTCGTTAACTGAGCCAAGTACACTTATTATACATTAAAAAATTAATATTTTTATATGAAAGATAAATGATGGATTTCACACGGACATCGTAGAAAAATGCTCTGACAATGTTAGGTATAAACATACCACGAAATTTGCAGATAAAACTTATCTGGTGCACAATTTCTAACAATGGTCTATTTCGATCTTTTGTGGGAAGAGTGAAAGGTGATGTTTTAAATAGTCAGATAACTGCCTTTCCAAATTGCTTTAGTTTGTTCACCAACAATATGTTAACGATAATATCGTGTTTTTGGCCAGACAGAGAGATACCCAAAACTAGCTTCGAAACCACCAGATACCTCTTATTACCAAAAACGATAATCCTGCAAACTTGCAGCAGAGTTTTGTGTCAAAATTTTTAGGACATATGTTATTGACCTTACGTAGACCCAAGAAAGAGTCGCCAGACTAATTGCCAACGTCAGAGAGAACAGATGGGGCACACAAAAAAGAACATGGTGATACACTACTTTAACAGTATTAATCAGTTTTACATTTATATTTATTTTCCCAAATGCCTCCCACAGCTAACATAAAAGCACACTGTGATATATCTTTCTAAGTTTAAACAAACATTATCATCACTATCGTCGACTTATTGATTTTAAGCTACTTTTTTGTTCTAGTAATTAAAAAACGTGGTCTATTGTTGATCTGTTAGGCCAAAATCCAACTAGATTGTTAGCTTATCTTGGGATTTTTCAGTTGTTTCGTTGTTCTTATGTAAAGCTTCTTTTTTGTTGTCAGTGGAAACATAATACTGGTACGTAGCAGCTCTGTAATCTTATCTATTACTTTTGTATAATTGTTTTCTTTTAATATAGCAAACTCTATAATTGCTTTTATGCCTCTTTCAGTTTATACTTTCTTAAGCCAAGTTGCATCATAACTGACATTCCTTGTTAGACTCTCCATTTGCAACTCCAATGTAGAAGGAATAATCGTATGTATCCATGTTCTTAAATACTTTATCATTTCTATTAATTTTTGAAATGAACATTATTCCTGCTTGTAATTTGTCTAATTCTTTTCGCACTTCCTAAGGTTTTTGAACTTTCCTTGTACAATAACGACGTATATCGACATTTCCCATCGAATTTGTCATCGTATTGTATAACTTTGATTCCGAGGCCGGAATTTCGATTTTTTCAACTTTTTTGTGTCTTTAAACAACAATTAGGGAGTTAGTCTAGATATTGACGTGAGTCTTACATATAATTGGGAGGACCAGAGTTTTTTCCTTCTTTTTCATTTTCAATATAAGCAATTCAGCTTATATATTGGCGGATTAATATTGTCAATCCATGTTTTTCAGATCAACCAATAGTTCTACTGTTTAATGATATATGTCTTGCTATTTTGTACAGTGTTTGTCTTCTTAATTTTACTCATGTGAATATTTTATATTTTTCCCTAGTATCCACATTTATCTCCTGTAAGTTACAATGTCTTCGCTTCTATTTTGATCTAGGTATTAGCGTATTTCCTGTAATTCGTTTTAGAAATGTTATATCTGTCTTCTACTAGAGGTACTAACCCTTTTGTTAGATCACAGTAAGCATTTCTCGGAGTTTTGTTACGATTGGGCTGCAGCAACTAGTTTTGGCTCCAAGACGTATATCAGCTCGATAGCCTAAGAAATATGTGAGACTACCACTTGTACTATATGCCGAATGAAGAAAGAAATGCAAAGATTGTAAAATAAATTGACTAGATTTGCTAGATACCTTGAACATGGCATCCACGTGGATGATGTCAAAAACAAGCTCTATAATATTATTCTCATTTTTATTTTGTGTATAATCGTCTATTGTAAATTAGTAAATTTAAACTTTAATGATACCAAATAGCCTGTTTTTAATAGCGGTTTAAATTCATAATAAATTCAGTGCAAGAAATTATAGAACTATTTATAAACCAACAGTCATGGAAATTTTGAAATTTAAAAGGGTTCTCCAACTCTAGCACATATGAGTGTGAATCATGTTGTGCAACATATATACATTATATATATTTCATGAAATAGTTAACAAATATTTGTTAAAAAATATTGTCTATCAATACATAAGAATTGTATCTTTAATTGATTCAAGCCTACAT